AGGGGAAATAGAGCTTTATCTGTTTCTTTATAGGGTTTAATGAGGCTAACTGGAAAGGTAGGGTGTTTCCTGTCAAATTCCTTGGTTAGTACTACTTCAACTGCATTTTTGCCATGTAGTGCTCTAATCACAAATGGTCCAGCAAAGGCATCTTTTAGTTTGCGTGGTCCTTTGATGTTATTGAAGTTGATAGTTGATACTAGTACCATGTCGCCAATTTTAAAGTTGGGTTCTTTGTGAGATTTGTCCCACCTTTGCTTATTATATTCATGGGAATCATTCATACATCTAGTAGCATGTTTGCGTGCATTGTCGAGCATGGTTTTGAAGCTTGATGCAGTAGGATGGATATCTATGAGGTCTTTCCTAAGGCTATCTTGTGGCAATCTTGGGTTCCAGCCCTTTTCTAGCATGGATGGTGTTTTGTTGGTTGAACTGTGGACTGAGGTGCGGTAAGCTAGTTCTAAGGCAGGTAATAGTGTGACCCAGTCATGTGTAAAACCATCTGCATCTTTGAATTCTAGCCCATATGCACAAAATCTGCGGACCATATCTTCAAGTGTTTGGATCATACGCTCAGCTAGTCCATCTGTTTGTGGATGGTAGGCAGTTGAAAAAGATAATTTGGTGCCAAATAAGGAGTATAAGTTGCGCCAGAGTTCTGAAGTGAATTTTGGGTCTCTATCACTGATAATTACTTTGAAGAGTCCTGTCCATGAAACAACTCTGTTCCATATCATTAATGCTGTGTCCATGGATGTGTCATCTTTGTGGCATGGGAGGAATATTGGTGTTTTACTAAACCTGTCAACTATAACAAGACAAGCATTGTAATTATTCTGACCTCCTGGAGGTAGTCCTGTTACCCAGTCCATGTTGACCACTTCCCAGGGCATGGATGGTTCCTCAATCTTCATCATGAGTCCAAATTTCTTACCAGTTGATCTGTTGGCTTTTTGGCATCTATCACATGTGGAACAATATTTAGCAACATCGTCTTTCCAATTAAACCACCAGGCACAGGTTTTGACTTTTTCCATGGTCCTATCTTCAGATAGATGACCGGAAAATGCACTGTCGTGGCATTCGTGGAGCATAATGCTAATTTGTTCTCTGTCTGTTAAGACCATAACACAAGAATGCTTGGTCCTGTGGTAAAGTATTCCATCAAACAGATGAAAACGTCCTTCTTGGTAACGTTTCTTCCATTCATCTTCTAGGCTGTTGGAGAGATCTTTGTCTTTAAAATCTTTTCCTAGAAGTTGAAGGATTATCCAGCAATTTTTGTCTTGTTTGTAACTGTCTCTAATATCATTGAAGAATTCTTCATTGAGGTCTGTTACATTAATACCCATGATTGGGAGGCTAGATGGTAAGTTCTCTTGGTCATAGGCAGGATTATCAACATTGTTTGGTAATGGCCATCTACTTAGTCCATCTGCGTTTTTGTGTAAATTGCCTTCTTTATGGATAATGGTCATATTTCCTCTGTATTCTTGGATTGCAATTTGCCAGCGTAGCATATGCCTGTTAGGTGTTTTCATGTTTAATAGTGATTTAAGTGCTGTGCAGTCTGTGATGACCTGGAAAACGCTTCCATCAAGGTAGTAGTGGAGCTTTTCCAGAGCCCAAACAAGACACAGACATTCAAGTTGACTGGCGCCATATCTTCCCTCTGTATCTTTGAGCTGTCTAGATATGTAGCATACTGGTCCTTCATAGGGTTTATCGTCAATAATTTGGACTTGGTGTAATGCTGCACCAAGTCCTTCCATTGAGGCGTCAACGTATAGTTTGAATGGTTTGTCAAACTGAGGCATAAGCAGTAGTGGTGCTGATGTAAGAGCAGTTCTCATGTCGGTATATGCTTGTACTCTCTCAGTTGTCATTTCAAAGGCTGCATCTTTGCTGGTGATGACGTATAGGGGTTTGGCAATTACGGAGAAGTTCTTGATATGTTGTCTGTAGTAACTTGCAAAGCCTAAGAAACTTTGCATTTCTTTCCTAGTCTGCGGTATAGGTTTAAGCATTACAGCTGCTACTTTGTTTTGGTCAATGGCTAGTGTAAGTCCTGATACAATGTGTCCTAGTGCTTTCAGCTCATGGAAGCCAAAGTTACATTTCTTGAGTGATATTTTCATGTTAACTTCTACAACCTTCTGAAGAATTATTTGTAGTCTCTCGAGGTGTTGCTCCCAGTTATTGGAGAAAACAATAATATCATCTATGTAGATGATGAGCCACTGCTCAGATAATTCTTTAACAAAAATTGTGTTCATCATTCTTTGGTAATGTGATGGAGCATTTTTGATTCCAAACGGCATTCTCATGTATTCATATACGCCGCAATGTGCTATGATTCTAAGGAATTTTCTAGACCTTGGTGTGACCACATTCTGGTGGAAACCTTTCAGTGCATCCATGCTGGTGATGTATTTGGCTTGTGATAAGCTGGTGAGTGTCTCATGGATGCGTGGGATAGGATACCTGTCCGGTATGGTGTATGTATTAAGGGCTCTGAAGTCTCCAACCATCCTTGATTTGTCATTATGCCAGGCTATAATAACTGGTGTGGTTATTTCTACTTCTTCATTATGACCAATTTTCCGGAGAACACCTAGGTCAATGAGTTCTTTAATATGTTTTTCCAATGCTTCTCTGGCTCTAGGACTGGCTGGGTAAGCTGGTCTTCTGAGAAGTGGAGGGTATGGTTTTTCAATATTCAAAGTAATTTCAACTTCATGTCCTTTGATCGCACCTAATGGTTCTTTGTCCGTGGCAAAGGCATTCTTATTATTAAATAGCACTTGGATGAGACATGCGCGTTGATTTTCATTGAGTTTTTCACTGATCTTGCAGTCCTTAAGTTGGTCATTCTCAAATTGGGAAATTGCTGGGTCTATTCTTCTAGTAACTGAATTGATGGACCTAGAGGCAAGAAATTGAAATTTTTTCCGTTGGTTATCATGACCAATTGTGAAGAATCTTTCTTTGCTGTTGTGGATGTCAAATCCATAAAGATTGAGATAGTCTGTTCCTAGAATGAAATAATCATTTCTTCCATCTTCGAGAATTATAAATTCTACTTTAATCCTGACTGATCCTGATGGATGTGGTAGGAGAAGACTTATTTCAATTATCCCTAGTGATTTCATTTGGCTGTTGCAGCTGTGGAGTGATAGTCCTGCTAGTGGCATGAGGCTGTCTTTCCAATTAGGCAGGAATTGTTCCAAATATTTCTTGGACACTACTGAGCAAAAAGCTCCTTGATCTAGTAGCATTCTGCCTTCTTGTTTTTCACATATGACTAGGGTGACAGAGCTTGTGCCTGCTGTGTAGCCTTTTCCTTTTTCTGGTTTGGTTTTCACTAGTTTGGCATCAGTAACATGTGTAATGTCTTTGCTGTTATGTGATATCTGTGGTAAGTGGGAAACTTGTTCTTCCTCAGATAAGTCATAGTCTGCCTCAATAGCGCCTATTTCAGCATCTGCGGACTCATAATCCTCCGCATCATCTGGTAAAGATTCATCATCTTCTTTGTCTGATTTATCCTCTAATTCTTCTGTGTTACCTGATGTGTCTGGTTCAATTGCATTTATAGTACGTTTATTCTTTGGGCACACGTTGGCCAAGTGATCTGGGCTGTCACACTTGTGGCATTTTCTGACATATGGTTTGTTGTCTATTTTTGCCGGGATAGTTTTCTTTATGTCAGTCTTCCCGGGGGAATA